CCTTCCTTCCTCCCTCCCTTCCCTTCCCTTCCCTTCCTTCCTTCCTTCCTTCCTTCCTTCCTCCCTCCCTCCCTCCCTCCTTCCTTCCTTCCCTCCTTCCTTCCTTCCTTCCTTCCTTCCTTCCTTCCTTCCTTCCTTCCCTTCCTCCCAGCCTCCTCTGGCTCCCTCACATTTTCCTCCCTGGCATTTTCCTCAATACATTTCTCATATATTTCAGCTCATCTTGGCTGAGGACCTGGACTAACATACTTTTCTATAACAGATTTGGATAAACCAAAAAGGGGGGGGGGGTGGCTTCTAGGCAGGTCAACAGCATGAGTAAGGTGTGGGGGTGAAAAAGCCCAGGGTGTGTTTACACCACAAGGGGGGAATCGCCTGTCCTAAGAGGGCACTGAATGTCCATGCTTTAACTGATCAGAGGAAGTGCTGTCACTTTGGCAAAGTCACTGAGCCTCTCTGGCCTTGGTTTTCCCATCTGAAAACGGGGGATAATAATAGTACTCATTTTATAGGGTCTTGTGCAGATTAGATGGGTTAATATAAAAAAAGCGTTTCAAATGGCCTAAGTTACCAACTAAGAGCTTTAAAAAAATATTTAAAAAGCCCCTCCCTGATGGGGCTCGTGTCCAGCTTGGAAGGAGGCAGTGCATAGTATTTTCCTTCCCCGACGTGACTTGTTTGTCCTTTAGGATGCAGACAGGAACCAGACCTGCTTCCTGGAAGAGAGGAGACGGGGGTGCGTGGGAGGGCTGCCCTTTCTCAGGCAAAGCCCCCCATTTTCTGAAGGAGTTGGGTCTTGACATTACCCCCTGATCCTCCAGCAGCCAGATAAGAGAGCAGATGTTCAGCGGGATCAAAGTTGCCCAGATGTCTTGTCTCGCTGGACGGTGAACATCTGGACACACTGAGACTCCCACAGGGGAATGTCGGATAACTGTCACTAGGTGGCAGTCCCTGGTACAGTTGGACAGATGGGGGAATTTCCTGAGTGTCCACTGACACGTGGGCTTCGCTCCCTGATGGAGGCTTCGATGTGCTCATTGCACAGATAAGGGAAAGCACCTTGCTCAGGGTCCTGCGGCAAACAGGTGGCAATGCTGGGGTCTGCCTGTAGAAACCTTGGATGTCCCAGCCTTTCACCGTGGCTGGGGTAGTCTCTCATCTTCATCCTGAGGATGGACCAGTCTGGCCCCAAGCAGGGCCCTGTCAGTCCTCATGGGTCAGGGCGTTTGGAGTCTCTGCTACTTTCCTGAGCCTGCCTGTTTCTGCAAGGTGCCAGGGCAGGAGAGCTGGGTGCCCTGTGCGCCTGAAAAGCATAGAAAGTCCAAGCAATTTAAAAAATGTTTTTCTTTATTGATTTTAGAGAGAGCGGAAGGGAGAGAGAGAGAGAGAGAGAGAAACATCCATTGGCTGCCTCCTGCATGCCCCCCACTGGGGATCGGGCCCACAACCTGGGCATGTGTCCTGACCAGGAATCGAACCAGTGACCTCTTGGTGCATGGGTCGACGCTCAACCACTGAGCCACACCGGCCAGGCCCAAGTTTTTTTTTTCTTTTTTAAAGCAAAAATAATAGAATGAAGCAACATTTTGAATGCTCACCATGGGCTGGTACTGGGAGAGGTGTGTCAGATGCATTATTTATTATCTTATGTAGTCTTCTCCATAGCCACAACTGGAAGGTCATCTTAGCTAAGAATGTTTTTGGCTGCAAGTAAGAGAAAATCTGACTCATGGTGTATTCACTTGATTATCTCATTAAACAAGAAGTCTAGAGGTAGGTGGTGCCAGGGAGGGTTATTCTGCCGCTCTAGTTTGGGGCCGTGCACTTTCCCTTGCTTTCCCTTCTCACACCCCCACCATCACATCCTCACACAATAGCACCCACAAAAGAGGAGGTAAACAATGAGGAAAATATATGCCAGAAGGTGCCGCCCCGACAGCCCTGGACCAATCCTTGACAGAGTGATTTCCCTGGCTGGCTCAGACCAGGTGGTTCACCTCCTGGGAGGGGGAATGGGATGACCTTCCCAAACACTTGCCTGATTCCTGAACAATATCAGGTTCTGTTAGCAAGGGAGAAGCCAGGGGCCCCCAAAACATTCTCTCATTGGTGTACGAGCAGCTCGGGGGTGGGGGGTGGGATGGGGTCTGCTATTTGGGACCCTGGTCTGCACACAAGCCAGGGCTGTGGGGTAGAAGAGCTAACATTTATTGAGTACCTACAGTGTGCCAGGCCCCACTCTGGGTGATTCCATTCTCTTATCCCTTAATCCAGTCCCCACAACAGTCCTGTGAGGAAGGAACTGTCCACCCCATTTTTCAGATGAGAAAACTGAGACAGACCCCGGCTCCCACAGAAAGGTGAAACCGGAAAACGAGTGGGTCTGACCACCTTGAGCCAATGAAGCAGAGACCAGGCTGAATCAAATATGAGCACTTATTCCAATATTGCTGGCAGACGGGCGAGCACTGGGTGACCCCGTCAGATCTGCTCTGCCCCCTTCACTTGCCAGCTGCTTTCAGAGGGTAGAGAAACAATGACTACACGAGAAAGGGCAGGGAGACAAAAAGGAACAACAATGGGTACAATGGTTCAGGCAATGGGGAGGAGTGTGTGTGTGTGTGTTGGGGGGGAGCCTGTGGGACTGGTGGCCGGTGAGTCGCAGTCAAGGGTCCAGTGTTCCGATAATGAGGTTGTTCATCCTTCCGTGAGGTCAGGTGGTCCCCCTTGTCCTCAGACCAGAACAGACAGCATCCCCGGGGTAAACTCAGGCATACACTTCCAGCCAGGTCAGAGTGGGCTTTTTAAAAAAAATCAGCACAAAGCAACCGTAATTTACATTGCAAAGCATGATTAACATTTCTTATCACTGTGGCTGGTGCCCCACTGTGATGAGTTCTCTAGTCCACTCTCTCCCGCCCCTTTCACCGCGGGAGGCGGAACTGGAATGAGCACGTTCACTAATGCTCGCTGTGTGTCAGGCCCTCTGATCTGTGTGTCGCCTGGATTAGATCATTTACTCCTCACCCCAACTCCATTCCGCCGAGGAGACAGGGCCTGCGGAGGTGGAGCACACTGCAGGGTCACATAGCTTAGTATTGGCCCATCCGGGCTGTGAACCCCACTGCCAGAAGGTCGCCCACGGAGCCCCCAAATTTGGAGAAAACCTCCAGGCCTGTTCTGTGGCCTTTTTGGGATTGTTGGCTTCATCAGCGGACAAACTGGATAAATAAACAAGAGGCTCAGGAAACTCCTTTTCCCTTTTGATGTCCTGAGGCCACACGAGAGTCGTCCAGCTGCCTTGACAGCCAACATTAAACAGGCAAATCAGTGAATCTTTAATATGATAGCAGGAAATGTTAAGTACTGTCAAGAAAAAAACAAACAAAACAAAACAGGTTAATGCAATAGAGTGATGGTATGGCTGCTGTAGACCAGGTGGTCATGGAGGGCTTCTCTGTGGAGGGGGCAGTCCAGTAGAGACAGAGGAATGAGGGATGTGATGGAAAGAGTCAGTTGTGCAAATCTCCAACAGAAGAGTATTCCAGGCAGGAAGAGTAGCAAGTGCAAAGGCCCTGAGGTAGAAGTGAGTTTGGCGTGCTTGGGAAAGGATGACAGATGAGTGTGGCTGGAGCAGAGGGTGAGGGTGAGGCAGCGGGGAGCATGAGACAGGGAGGTAAAGGTGGGAGGAGGCATATCATGCAGGTCCTTGTAGGACTTTGTAAGGTCTTGGGCTGTGCTCTGAGTGAGATGGAGCCATGGAGGGTTCTGCGTGGAATTCAGTGACAGGATCTGACTTAGGTTCTGCCAGGATCCTTCTGACTACTGTGAGAAGAATGGACTGTGGAGAGAGGAGGGCTGAAGCCAGAAGACCAAGGAGGAGTAACAGCTCTTCAGGGGGCTGTTGGGAAGACACAGTGAAACCTGCCTGAACCCACCCAGCAGTGCGCAGTCAACACAGGCTTAGAATCAGACCTTCCGGGTCCCAGCCCCACACTCTGCCCACTATCTCACAGAAATCACCTGTGCCAACCGCTCAGTGTTCACGACTCCCTGTCACTGCCAAGCTCTCTGCGCATCCTCACACAGCCTTGGAGGTGAGTACAACTCTGACCTGTCTGGTCCCAGAGAAGTAACTGGCCTGAGAGGATGTTACCTGTGTGAGGTTTGAGCGTGAAAATGGGGGCTAGCGGTTGTAGGGAGTGGTGAGTGTGCATCGAACCTGGGTTCTCACCAGCACCCGGGGCGGTCTCCTGCTGGCGCCGTAACCACCAGGTAATCCTGACAATGGCCACAGTGTCCTGAGCCCTTGCTCTGCTCCAGGCACAGGACGGGCTCTGTACACTCACTGCTCTGTCCTGTACACAGTTGAGGAGTGGGGACTCAGAGCCCAGTCCCGAGTGGCTCTGGTAACCCCCGCCCTGTAGTTCTGCGGGCCGAATCCAGCCCAACCCCACCCGCAGCACAGACAACGCTGCGTCTCCAACGCTGGTCGGGTGGGGATGGGGTGGGGAGAGGTCTGGGTGGTGGAGGCTGTGTAGATGGAAAGTGATGGAAAGGCCCCTTCCACCCTCCCACCATAGTCAGCCTCACATCCCCACACCCCCCATCCCCAAATGTCCACCCTCCCCTTCCTCCACCCCCTTTTCCTCCCTCACATCGTTTCTCCCTCAGTACGTCCTCTCCCTTTGCATCACCCCTCCCGTCCCACCATACCCCCCATCCTACATTTTCCACTCTCCCAACTTTCCTGGCCCAGGGAGTGGGGCCCGGTCTCGGCCTGAGCTGAGGGGAGGGGGTCCCCGAGAGCACCCAGCGACCCCTCGGGACCTGGGAGGGATGGGCGGCCCCGCTCCCCGCCCCTAAACGGGCCGGGCCCTCGGGCTGGAGGGAGGGCGCGGGGGCGGGGAGAGGCACCTGGGTGGGCGGGCGGCCCCCGGGCGGCCGCAGTCTCCGCCGCTGCTCGCTCGGCCCCGCAGGCTCGTGGCCGCCCCGCGATGTCCTGGGCCGTGCTCCTCGGCCTCCTGGCCGCGCTGCTGCTGCTGCTGCTGCTGACCCGCCGGCGCACGCGGTGAGTGCCCGGAGCCCCCGCGCCCCCGCCACACAAAGGGGGCGTCTCCGCCCCGCGCCGGCTGCAGCGGGGGATCGCGGAGCCAGCGGCAGGCCCAGGCCGGAGCCCCCGCCCCACTGTCCCGGAGGCCCCCGCCCCGGTGTCCCGGAGGCGCCCGCCCCACTGTCCCGGAGGCGCCCGCCCCACTGTCCCGGAGGCGCCCGCCCCACTGTCCCGGAGGCCCCCGCCCCGGTGCCCATTGTCACCCGCAGCCCCGGGGAGAGCCCCTGGGAGGTGGGGTCTAGGCGCCCCGCACAGGGGGCTCCCGCGCTTATCCCGCGAGGGACCGAGCCCACCGCCTCTGCGAAGTGGGGAGGGACGGCCAGGAAGGTGTGGGGACACGGCGAGCTCCCAGGAGGGACACCTACCGCGCACGCTCCATCGCCCGGTCGCGAGGAATCCCAGGTCTGGCCCAGAGCGCACGGGCTGGGACCTGCGGTGCCGGTCCAGGAGGGGAGCGAGGGTCTCTGGGTGGGGAATGGCGCGTGGACAGGCTCGGTGTGACCCCTCTGGAAGAAGCCCTCTCCCGCTCTTCAGCTGCTACCTGGATCCAGCATCCACTTGAGGTCAAACCCCGCTTTGCTCTCTGCAGTCCGTGGGTAGCCTCCTCCTCTCCATTACACAGATGGGAGGATCGAGGCCGGAGGCAGAGGCCCTGAGATGCCCTCCTACCAGCCCTGAACCCAACTTCCACGGGGCCCACTGACGTGGACGAGTAGGGTAGGCTCGCTATTTCCCTCTGCCAGGGGAGAAACCGAGGCCCAGGAAGGGGTCCCTCTCCCTAGAGGTCCCACGGCCTGGGCAGGTAGAAACAAGGAGAAATGTCTCAGCTTCCTAGTCCCAAAGGTTTTCCCGCTACATTGAGAATCTGCAATTTAGGAGAAAAAGTAAACGCGTACACTTCAAATCAGGGAGATGGCATTAGGTCTCTTTTTCTAAAACATTTAAAAAGTTAATCGGAATTGCACAAGGAAAAACTGAATACATTGGACTTACAACAAATATCCCATTAGGGATAAGCCCTTCTAACCACCCTTCCAACAATTCTGGACCTCTCTTGTTGATCCGTTGGGGGGCAACCTTCCAGATTATTTTAGAGGACATTTTTCATTTTAGACTAGTGTTGTAGCCAGAGAAGAGCTGCAGAGGTGGTACACAGAGTTCCCAAGTGCCCCTCACCCAGTTTTCGCTCTTGTTAACATTTCTCATTATAATATACATTCGTCAAAACTAAAAACCAACTCTGGTCTGTTACGACTAACCAAACTGCAGGCTTTATTTGAATTTCATCAGTTTTTCCGTTAATGTCTTCTTTCCATTCCAGGATCCAGTCCAGGGTGTCATATCTCTTCAGTCTCCCCTACTGTTTTTACAATTACACACATAGACATGAGCCTGTAACTAATACAGCGGAAGTGCTTGCCTGTGTGTGTGTGTGTGTGTGTGTGTGTGTGCGCGCGCGCACACACACACGGGTGCATTTGTTTAAATCGGGGTGTCTGAAAATTTCTGGAAACTTTTTATTTTTAGACAATATATTAGTTGAAATTTCCAAACAATAAGTTCATGATGGTTTTCTTCAACAACCAGACACCTTTTCAGGTGAAATTGAAAACCAGGTATTTGCCCTGGCCGGTTTGGCTCAGCAGTTGGAGCGACGGCCTGCGGTCCAGAGACACCCAGGTTCGGTTCCCGCGTGTACCTCGGTTGCAGTGTCCTGGTTGGGTCGTGCGGGTAGCAACCACTTGACGTGTCCCTTTCATGTCGATGTTTCTCTCTCTCTCTCCCTCCCACTCTATCTGAACAAAAAAATGGAAAAATGTCCTCGGGCGAGGATAAAAAAAAAAGAAAATCACGTATTCAATCCTTTGCCTGGGGGAAAATTAAAAAAAGACAACAAATAAGTTTTCTTATGATGAAATGAATTATTTCCCCTAAGTTTTCAGGCTTTTAGGAGACAGTGTAGAGGTGTTTTCAGACTTTACATTGTGTTTTTTTTTTTCATTCCAGATTTTAGTTATGACATCCCTTCATGTTGCTATGTGGAGATCTAATTCATTCTTTTGATTTTCTGTGGAGCATTCCATACTATGAATAGTGGCTCCTTTTTATTCCTGTCCCCGTTGACAGACTTTTAGGTTGTTTCCAGTGTTTTTGCTATTTCAGACCATGTGCTGTGGTTTTCCTGTGGGGCCTCCTGGTCTGTGCTTTTCTCCGGGGTGATGGGGGCAGCCATATAATACACGGAGTCTTGGAGGCATGGTACCTGTGTGCTCAATGTTTGGAAATTTCCAGCCTCTAGAAATAAGAACAAGTTGAGTAACTACGCTCTGCCTCAGTTTCCCAAACTTTAAAGTGGAGATGATGATGCTAATAGTTGAGAGTGAACTGCTGGGTTCGCAGGAATGCCAATTAAACATTATTTTAGCTAATTCTTGCCAGGTCCAGAGAGCTGCTTTATCTTTGCGGGTAAGTTGTTCATTTTTATATCTATGGGTGGCTTAGGAAGGTCAACAAGTGGGTATTGGGGAGAAGTGTGGGTATGGGGGTCACTGACAGTTGGGAGACAGTTGCATGGATTGTAGGGAGACCCCAGGAGGACCCCAATTTAAGCTCCCAGTGTCATTTCCTCCTTCCGACTTAGTGAGGGACACTCTTGTTACCCTCATTTTACAGAGAAGGAAACGGGGGCTCAGAGAGGCCAAGCAACTTACTCACAGTCTTTCTGGATTAAAAATCTGGGCTGCGGGAAGTTTTAATTCCCAGGAAAAATGAATTCTCACTCTTGGCATCCATTATATTTGTGATCTGAATGCTGAGAAGTCTTAGAACCACATCATGTTAAGATAGTAAGAGACACAACTATCACCAGAAGATTCTCTTTTTTTGTACAGATAGAGTGGGAGGGAGAGAGAGGAAGAGAGAGAGAGAGAGAAACATCGATGTGAAAGGGACACACATCGAGTGGCTGCCACCCGCATGACCAACCAGGGCCGGGGACAAACTGCAACCGAAGTACGTGCCCCTAGCGGGAACTGAACCCGGGTCTCTCCGGACCGCAGGCCGACGCTCTAACCGCTGAGCCAAACTGGCCAGGGCTCACCAGAAGATTCTTAAGAAAGGACAAATAGCCTGGCTGGTGTGGCTCAGTGGTTGAGCGTCGACATATGTATCAAGAGGTCACCGGTTTGGGTTCGATTCCTGGTCAGGGCACATGGCACATGCCCAGGTTGTGGGCCCGATCCCCACTGGGGGGCATGTGGGAGGCGGCCAATTGATGTTCTCTCTCATCCAAGGTTCTATCTCTCTCTCTCTTTCTAAAATCAATAAAGTAAAAAATATTTTAACAAAAGCAAAAACAAAAAGAAAAAAGAAAGGACCAATAACCAAGTGTTGGAAAAAGAGGTGGATGATGCTGACGCGGTGTAGACAGTAATCTAAAATGTGGGTCAAAACAAGCAAGGTCCTGCACGTCCTTTGGCTCATTCCTTTCTCCTGCCCGCCCCTCCAGGTAATGCCGACAACCCCATTCTACAGCCCAGGCTTACAAACGCTAAGTGACCTTTTTCAGGTCACACAGAAATTCTATCCCACACCTAGCCAGTTCCAAAATGTATGCTTCTCCCAGTGAAAGAATAAAAGCACTACTTTAGCCGGTCAACAACTCTGTCTTTAACCTGTGGCTTTGTTCCTTTTAGAATGAAAAAAATTTACTTATGAAAAATGTCAACTATGCAGATAAATAGAATAGTATAGGAACGCCCATGTATGCATCACCTTGATTTGACAGTTGTCAACATTAAAACAATTAGATGTCATGTCTTACCACTAATATCTTAGCATACATGTCAAAAAACAATGACAATTGTCATTGTTATCTTAAGACTATAAAAAATAATTCTTAACGTCAGCTAGTTCCGAGTCTAACTTCACGTTTCTGCAGTTACGGCAAGTACTGTAAAGCCCCGCTTGATAACTGATAACAGTGCGTGTTTCATCCTGGGAGAGGTGGTGAGCTGGGAGTTAGGAGTCACTGCTGTGGCCGTTGCGGCTCTGATCTGCCTTGGATCGAAGCCTCCTTGCTTTCCCAGCCCTGGTTTCTCCTGCTCTGAGCTGGCTCGCGTAGCTGATCTCTCCCGCCCCAGCCGCTTCGCCAGGCTGAGTGCATCTCTTCCTCTTTGGGCTTGTGTGACTGCTGTGGGGAACCTTGAGAGAGGTCTTCTGGGTGGGAAGCCCCTTTTAGAGGGGCCAGAGACCACAAGAGGCATTGGTTAAGGGCTCCTGCTGGTTCAAGGGCTGATCTGGGTCCTTGCAGAGTATGGAGTTTCTAGGAGCAAATACATGTCTCCTTCCAACATGTACTAACCAGAGGTCACCAAATGGTGGTCCACGGCTGGATTTGGTGCCAGATGGGTCTGGTGTGTACCCCATAGCACAAGGGGAGAGAACTGGGGTCCCACACAAAAAACTCCAGATTTTCAGCTTCTTGTGGAAAAAATTGGAAGATCTAGTAACACTTGCCTGGGATTCAGTAGCAGAGCCCTCTCTAAACCTTGCCACAGTCTCTACCACTCCCTATTGCCTCTCTCCAACACACAGCTGTTCTGCTTATTGCTATATTTGCTCTACTGTTTTTTCTTATTTCAAGAAACAATTCTCTGAACCTGTGTCTATTACAAAAACAGGAAAACAAAAAATTAAGCAAGATGGTCACATGCTGTTTCTGTTCAGTGGGGGGGGGGGTCAATGAGAGGGGGCATGAAAGAGGGGAAGGGAGGCTCTTGATTAACAGCAGACAGCCTACAGGTGGGCTCTGGAGAAAGAATGGGTTACGCAGTCTAAACAGTAGCTCAGGTTGTTTCAACTCAGCTGGACAGCAACCAGCCCCTTTCTGTTCTTCCATGAAATCCTCCCAGGCCCTGAGGCCCTGAACTGAGTTAAAACTGCTGGACAAGGAGGTT